CCCCCCCCCTTCCCCCCCCCCCGGTGCTTGCCATCGGGGTTGGGTTTTCGTCGCTTGGCAACGACGTTGTAAAACAAGCCCCCCCCTCGGTGCTTGCCATCGGGGTTGGGTTTTCGTCGCTTGGCAACGACGTTGTAAAACAAGCCCCCCCCCTCGGTGTTTGCCATCGGGATTGGGTTTTCGTCGCTTGGCAACGACGTTGTAAAACAAGCCCCCCCCTCGGTGTTTGCCATCGGGATTGGGTTTTCGTCGCTTGGCAACGACGTTGTAAAACAAGCCAATTCACTTTGTGAACTCGGCAACCAGGTGACCGGTTTTTTTTTACCTCTGTTTTTTTTTTGCGGTAACCATGATGGTGGTCGAGTAGATCATGTTGTGCGGGGTGGAGAAACCTCACTCCACGCAAGGGGGATGATCGCACCACGTTGTATTAAAATGGTCAAGCATGCTCGAGGCAATTACACAGTGCTTATAGCTGTCTCTGGAAGTGAACGCACCAGAAAATAAATTAAGTCATACGCAGCTGTCATCCGTACGCAAGGAAGTAAGCACATGATGCCGAACACCCTTAGCAGGATGCAGCGCACCCTTCATGCGACTCGCCGAATACCTCATGGCGCTTCGCGCTTGGTGATGTGAGAGCCTGGTCCGGTGAGAACCCGGCGTGCTCCGCCCCGGCTTTGTAGGGATGCGAGGTCAATCGTCTAACGACTGTACCGCATGCACGACTATGAGTCCCCCCCCCCCCCCTAGGAAGGAACGATTGGCCATCGGTGATCGGTCCTGGGGGGACAATGCTCCATCCTCTCGAGGACGCGTGGTCAATGGTGTAACCACTAAGGCATGCAGAACATAAGAGTACGCCCCCCCCCCCCCTCCCCCCCTCCCCTAGAGTACCTGCCGAGGTCCCTGGCCCTCCCGGGCGGAAAAGCGTGAAGCGGACGAATTTCCGGGAACGGAAAGTTGGCCTCAGTTTTTGCCACGTGTCCCGCGCGGGCTCTGCCGAGAATTTTTGCAGACGATTGTCCCCGTGATGCTGTTGCGTGTTTTGTTTTGCAGCGAGCCCCGGCGGGCACCAAGAACAAGCTGCAATTGGCCGTCACTCCGGGCTCGGCGGCGGCTGCCGGTTCCAGAGCACCGCAGCAGTCGCGATCTGGTGAGAGAACCAAGAACCAAAACAATAGTAGACAGCGACTCTTTTGCCTAGATCGTTGTGTTGTCGCGGGAAAGGCCGGACGAAAGTTTGGGGACGCCAGAGAGTTTAACGGGAAACTTAATAGCGATTGGCATCGACTGAGATCTGTGACGAAGGAGAGGACTTGGCAGTTCTCAATGCCGCCGTCGCTTCTTTAGTCAATGCGTCCGGCCCCATGTTGATTTGCTGTTCTTGCGTGCCTCTTTGCTGCCGCCGCCCTTCCTTGTGTGTCGTATCCATGCTGTCGCCCTCTTCTGTGTTCGTGGTTTCTTGTTGGTTTACATGGTACAGCAAGTGTCTACATGGTGCCTTTCTTTGCCACGATTCGTTTTCCTTCTGTGGTGGTGTAGCATGCTTTTTTTTGTTTTTGGCGAAACGTAAGATCGTCGTCCTTTTCGTTGCCATCGGGGTATTAGCCGAGTTTGACGACCTCATCTCCTTGGCTGTCGGGACGTTGCTTCCTCGGTGTTTCGTTGCTCCCCGTTGTTCGGTCGGCGCGGTCCAATTCATGCCGTGTCTGCCCGTTCCGGGCCTCGTTTTGTTTCGGCCCGTTCTGACCCCATTGTTCTCGCCCGCCTCTCTCGCGTCGCCTTCCCTCCCTACCGCGGGCACTCAGGAGGCGCTATAATCAAACCCGGTAGTTCTATTTCTAAGTCATCCGCACAGAGGGCTCCTTCCGTCATTCAGCGTGCCAGGGAGAAGAGACTGCAGGGAGGGGCTGGTGGTGTCGGCGCGGATAGGTTTGTGGGTGTTCGCGTGCGTGCCTTTTTTCAATACTTTGTACGTACTTCCATTTTCTCCCCATCTTGGCCCCTTCACTCGGGCCAAAGGTTCTGCCTGCACCGAGAAGGTTACGCCAGGACTTGATTTCCCCGTCCGGCGTCCTCTAACGGCACCTTGTTCGTACCACCAAAGTCCTGTGTGTGAAGCCTCTTCCCAAATTTCTCTCATGTTTGTTTTGGCCTGCTCCTTCATATCATGCTTTGGTGCTCTTTCCGGGCAGATGGGGAGCCGTTGGTGAAGACGAGAAGGGTGTGTTCGACGAGTCTTCCATGCGTCATTATGCTCGGCGCAGCGCCCAACCTCCCAACTCGTACGGCAGTAGCAGCAGCAGCAGCAGCAGGAGCACTTTCAGCAACGTGAACGGCGGGCGGGGCAGGATGGGCCAAGACCACAGCAACAGGAGCGACTTGACAGGAATGTCGACTCCCGTTCACCTCAAGCAGCCGTTCTCCCCAGTCAGGAGAACGAAGAGACCACAGGTGAAGGTGAGGTTGAGGACATGTTGTTTAGGGTACACTCTCCGTTCGTTTTGTCCATATTTTTTTCTGGCGGACGTGACGGCATTCCTCTTGGGTGAACGAAAAAATGTTCCCCGTTGCAGGATGTGTGGGCCTCAGCCGGACCACTCCAGCCGAACGAGTGAAACTGTATGCTTGCAGGACGGGAGGTCTTTCCACCACCGGAGGCCTTTGCGAATCCTCTCACCCTCGCCCCGTACGGCTAGCGCCAGCAATAAAAAAGCTTTGCAGTCAGTCAAGAAATCGATATAGCCTCGAAAAACTCAAGGTCTAAGAACTTGAACACCCATTTAGGAGCGCTCGGTTAAGAACAAAGAACCCCCACACAATGACCTAATAAGTGGCCATCCATAGCATAAACCTAGGAACTATGTAAGAGCCCCAGGACCGGCCGAAACTAGAGGTGCTTGAGTGCGGGCGCTTGCTACTGCTGTATGCCACTTTGCAACCGTCCGTTTATCGCTTCGTGTGTATGTGTTTTTTTTTCGGATGCGTGCGCTACCGCTCGCTCGCTCTGGTACTTTCTGTGTGTGTTGACGACAGCCCGTCGGGGCTCAGAAGACGATCTCGAAGAAACTGCGAAAGCCTACAGGCTCGCCGGAGTTGGTGACGATCGACGACTCTTCAAGCGGCGAGGAAGAGGAAGAGGAAGAGGACGAGTTGGACGGCGACAAGGAGGTGGAAGAGGTGCCGGCGAGCGATGCGAGGAGAGAGAAGGGGGGGGGCGCGCGGAAGAGGCGGAGGGCGGAGGGGGCGAATAGCGACGACGCGAGCGATGAGGCGGCAGGCGACAGTGATTGGTGTGTTCAGACGGGGGTGAGTGAATTCTGCGGGGCACCCGAGGGCGCGACGACTGCTTCAGGAACAGAGAAAGAACGCCACCCACCGCTTTGAAAATGTTCCCGCCGAATACCTGAACCATTTGAGAGTGTCGCCACGGGGGCTATTTTCGTGGGTCAACCGGTTCACGACTGTTTGGAGTTGTCGGGAGGGCCGCAAAAGCACTCTTCATTCACCTATTTTTATTCACAGGACAGGCAACTTTATGAGCATGGGTTGCCTTGAAATGAAATGAAATCTACCCTGGGTTTGAGATTCATAGTGGGCGGTTGCAAGGCAACAGGGTGGAGTCCATGATTTTCGGCGTTTATTTTCTTCTCGTGTTTCCGGTCTGGTTTATCTCTCTCCGTCTCGCTGGTTCGGCCACTAAGGTAGAAAAAGAGTATTGTGCGCACAAACATGCGGCCCCCCGCCCCCCTTCCATATCGCGTACCCACCACGTACGGCACTATTTAGTTGGCTCCCAAGGAGTAGCGTTCGGGAATCGTTTGAACGAATCCCGATGGGGACCAGCGGCAAGATCGAAGACGCGCGCGTGTATATTCGAAATATGAACTGCGTGGACTCTATTTTGCATTATTTCTTCATGACAGAATCAAACACGATGTAGTTGAGACATCTCCGAGGCAGGTCGGGCGGCCACCAAAGAATGGCCACGGCAAGCGCCTCCGTAGCGATCAAAAACACCCACGAACGGCTATACAGCGACCACTGACGACAGCGCTTGTGTCGGCACCCGTAACTGTCGACCCTCGTCCCTCGCGCCCCCGGGTCCCCTTGTTTGTGCACGTGCGTGCCGTGGCCATGACGTCATCACGTGCCAAATGCAACCGTCCTCTGACAACAACGTCTGAAACTGTCGTAAAAATAATAATTACAACGCCGGATTTGCGGTGTGAGAAGGCGGATCGATCGAGCGCGGAGAAACGAAGGGGCGGAGCGTCGTCGCTGCAGGAGCGGGGAGAGGTATGTACGCGCGGGGGGTCTTGATGCACGGGGCGACGTACCCACCTCTTAGTTGCTGGGTCTCACGATAGCCTAGGATAAGACGTGATACGCCATTTGTAGCTTGGTCGGGCTTAAACCAGCGGAACTGCTGTAGTTGTACAAATGGGAGGACCACCTTGTCTTTCGATGCAATGTAGAGCAACGCGAGATGAGCCTTCGATTGAGTCCCCGCCGGCGACATTGAGCTCAAGTCTCCGTGTCCCCTCTCCCCTCTGCACGTGCACGGGGTGGCTGCGAATAAAAAAAAAAAGTCGACGAGTCCGACGTTCGGGTCCGTACCGGAGATGGCGGCGGAGGCGGTGATGATCGGGAAGTGGATCGTGATGGGCGGCTGCTACACGTCCATCAACATGGTCGGGAACGTGACTATCGGCTTGAAAGGGTAAGACAGAGAGAGATCTCCGAAGAATGTGCTTCGGCGGCAAAAACATGAGAACATGCTGTCGTGATTTAGGACCAGCTGGAATAACTAACAAAAAGCGTATTGACTCAGAATATGCCCAGCACCCAAAGTTTTTTTTGGGTACAATGTACGTCTGAACATTTTTGCCTCAGCAAGTGTGTTTTATGCCTTGCTGACTACCATGTGCCACATTGGGTTGTTGCGCGTATGTTTTGGCATGAGTTGAAGAGCGCCTGCCACCCCACGGTCATCAAATATGCCGCTGCATGTCTAACATGGTAGGAACACATGTCGGTCCTACTAAGAGTTGATCTCTAGTTCATCCTGACTTCTTTGTTATCGATGGACAAGTGAATTCGGTTCGTGTCTGTAAGAACGTGAAAGGAAATACACCATCCAAGGAGTACACAATAATTCGAAACGGCTTGTGCCCTCGCCGTTGCCCTTGTTACTTTCCGGCAACCTCTGCCTTTTGTGTGACGTCGTGCGTGCTTGCCCGGGTTTTTCTTCGTTCTTGATGGCGTCACTTTGTTACGATTCACAGGGATGGGGACACGAAGGACACGACGCTGTGCATACCATCAAAGGAGATCACGTTTTTTGGGTGAGTCTTTGCCTATATTTTGTGCTCCTACGCATACACATACATACGCGCGCGGCTGGTGTTATGTCCTGGCCGTGTGCCCCCCCCCCCCCCCCCCAATCAATGCCCCAAAGCCATCAAGTAGAATGCACACTCCAGGGCGGCGGGGAACCTGCACTTTTCTATTTTTGCGCGTCGAAAGGGCACACGCTTATTGTTCGCCACCCCCGGGTCCAAAGATGGTGTATCCGTCTTCGACTCCCCGTGGAGTGCAGGCGTTGAGCCTTGGCGGAGCATGTGTCTGTCCCGGCCGGATCAGGCACACGCCCGTCCTTCGAGACTTTCACGAAAAATATTGTCAAGATCGTTCTCTCTCGGTACGCGATGGTTGGTCAATTTCGACCACCGAAGCGTCGAGTGTGCTGGAGAGATGACCTGTATAGCGGTCCCACCTCCCCAACGTCTGTCTGCCAAGGGCGGTTCCTCCTTTCGCGTCTATCTCGCGCCCATTCTCATTCCCCGTCTTTTCTCCCTCCTCCCGTCGCTCTTGGGGTACCCCTTCCTGGCGTGGCTCCATCTCACGCCTATTCTCACTCTCCATATCCCCTCCCCCCCCCCCCCTCAATCTTCAATACCCCCGCCTGCCTTGGCTCTATCTCACGCGTGTGGTCACTCCCTGTTCCTCTCCGTCCCCCCTCTCTGCTCGGGTGACCCCGGTTGGGCTTGGCTCTATCTCACTCTGATGCTCACTCTCTCCTATTCCCCTCCCCCGGATAGGGCTCTATCTTGCGCTTGTATTCACTCCCCACCTTCTCTCCGCCCACCCCCCTCTGATCCGATGCGCCTCTTCCTCACGCTTATGCTCACTCACTGCCTCCTCTTTACCCCCCCCCCTCCCCCACCCCTCCTATCTTCGGATACCCCTGCCTGGCTCGGGTTGCCTTGGGTTGGCTTGACGCGGGCCGGAACGTGCAAAAAAAGTTTCTGCGAGGGGGGCGAGGGGATGAAGGCTTTCATCACGATCAAGACGAACGTCGAGGGGAGTATTGCGAAGGACCGCTCCTACTGCCGACGCTACGACCCGGTAGACAAAGGTCAGTGCGGAGGAAGACGAGGGAGAGGGGCAAGGGAGGGAGGGAGGGAGGGAGAAGGAGAGAGAGAGAGAGACAGAGACAAAGAGACAGAGAGAGACAGATTTCAATCGAGAAATATTCTGGGTCACCATAGCGTCTTTAGAAGGCCGGAGAGATTGTGTGAATCTTTCGAAGGCCGAAGAGGGGCGACACAGAGAACAGAGTCCTACAGAGGCAGAGAGAAACAAACAGACGCGTTTCACGCGCGTGATTCACAACGATTTACTCAAAACTCGGCGGAAAAGACCACAAGTTTCATCACCCCCTGGGATCTGACTTGTCATCAGTTTTTCGCCGAATCCTACAACCGCGCACGTCTGCTTGACAGCACCTACTAAGTTTGTGGCAAACCTATGTGGTGACTGCGTTTGACAGGTGCACAGGGGCTGATCACCGTTTTCTTGCCGCCGGACCATGACTTTCACCAGCACAGGCCGGTAAGGAGCTGTTTCCATTTTTTTTTTATTTCTCGATTTTATATTTTTTTCTCTTGCTGTCGCACGCGACGGCGGATGTCATTCCTCTTCCACGCACTGCCAGCGGACGCTAGGTTTTTCCATGGTATACAACAGGGCATTGGGTGAAATCAATGGTGTTCCCGTGGCGTGGTCTGCATACTTATGTTAGCAGTGTACTGCGGTAGCCACTGTATGTAGGAGGCAGTTACCGGGCGGCACCCGCGCAACTGAGAGTATGAGAGAAGTTGATGATTCCATCCATATCACGCAACTTCACCGTCCTAAACAGGCGACTGCCTTATATTTGGCGGCCTTGACGCAAGGACCACTAATACTGCTGTGACAGAGACGGAGAGAGAGGCCCTGCCAGATCGAAAAGCACAGCAGTCACTGCTTTTTTTTGCCTTTTCCGGGTGAACCTGGCAAGAAGGAACCGCGCGGCATATCCTCCCTGTACTTTTTGTTGTCCTTTTTCATTCCCACCGCGCCGGCTGGGCACTAGTTCAGTAGTCTCCGCAATCTCTACCACAGCCCATATTGCTTCCTTTTGCTCCCCCCTCTCGTATGGATTTGAAATTGAGTTTCGTTGTATTATTTTGCGTTCTTATCCTTTGGTGGGTTGGGCAGGGAGAACTCTGCCGGCACTTGGCGGTGGTAGCACCTCGCTGCCCACACCTATGTCTTTGCGGTTGTTGCTGTGCGTGGTGCCGTGGTTTCCTACATGCGTCATGTGTATGTGGCATCACACAGCCGCTAACCCTAACGCAAACCCTGCCCGTCTTGCATGCCTCAAATGTGGAATTTCACCACATCAAACGCTAAGCCTAGCGCCAATGTTACTGTTAACCGGAACGCTTACGCTAACGCTAACGCTTACCCTGAAACCTAGCCGGCGTAACGCTAACGTTAACCCTAACCGACCTTTATATATGTTTTATTGAACGCTAACACTACAGCCGTAAGTAACGTTAACCCTTACCAACGTTGTACCCAACGTTGTGTAATCGTTATATATATTAGTCCATTCTTAGTGCGGTGACCAACTTCGAGTCGGGGAAGAAAAGAGAACCGGTGCAAGTCGACATCGACATGAAGGGAGAGCTACCTAGGATCCTAAGGCTAACCCTGGAGAGACATAGGAGAGAGACCGAGGAGGACAAGGAGGTCGGACGCAGCATGCGCACCAGGCGAGTTGTAGAGGCTTTTAGTTGTTGTTGTGTCATCGTTGCTGCTGGTGCTGTTGTTGCGGAAAGTGGTTGTGGTTTGGGTGGTTGATGGGCGCATATGGACATTCACTCGCCGTGAGATTAGCGAGATACTGATGTTGCAGCCCATCGACGATAGCGGTTGGCATGGGGGAATGCCAATGTGCTAACTTCATTTCTTCAGTGTTGTGTGCCTTCTGTGCATATGCCCCCATCCCACAACTACACTGTTTGTTCTTGATGTTTGGGAGGAATACATGCAGGCGCACACTCCGGGCTTATTGTTTACGAAAATCCGTCGTTCCCATAATGACGCTCAGGAGAACCCTCCGTTCCGGTGGCGGCGGCAACGACGAATTCGGCAAGGTGCTCTTCCACTACCCCCCGGAGGTGTCGGCGAGCGACAGGGTCGCCATCAACAGCCTGGACGAGGCCCGCACCCAGGAGGGGGAGTTCTTGAACGACAACCTCGTCGACCTGTACCTCAAGTGAGTCGGGGTTTGGGTCAGCGCGTGTTTAGCGCCACAAGGGCGCAGCCGTGCGTGCGCCTTGCCCTTGCGCCAAGGCTAGATCCCCGGAATCCAGGCCTAAGCCTAGCCCTTACCCTAAGGCTAGATCCCCGATTTCCAAGCCTAAGCTAACGTTACGACCTGGCATGAACTTGGACCCAATCCTGACTCTAGCCCGAACCCTTTCGTCCAATACCTAGGCCATACCCTTGCTAGCAAGCCTTTGGCTACCCGTTAGTCCTAGGCATAAACCTGCCCGCAGTAGTCCTAGCTCTAAATAGCCCGAATCCCATATGGCTACCCTTGGCGTTGCTGGCTTGGTCGCCGCAAGCTCGCTGTGTTGTTTTCTCTGGTGGTAGCCGTTTCCGCGAGTCCAACACCTCGCCGGCGCTCGGTACGACCGGTAATGTCCTGTCTGGTCATACTTGTTCTGCATTACTGGTGTTCGTGGTAGTTACACCGAGATGGCACTTTTGATTGGTGTCTCTGAGCGCGCCATGCGTGACCCTATTCAGTCCAACCCCCACACCCACCGCACGCAAATTGCCCAAAATATAGGTCGAGACCAAAATCGGTAGGTGTTATGACGGTGGGTACCCCCCACCCTTCACCACAGAGGGGGGGGGCCAAATCCACACCCGCGGAAAATCTTGTAA